GCGTAGCGGACGGGCGGCTCGGGGACGCTGAGAGGGACGCTGGGGTCGCGGGTGACGGCGAGGTCGAACGCTTTGCTCTTGTATGGCGCGGAGGAACCGAATGATCCGATGACGATCGATGCGACGATTGGTTTCTCGGATGTGAGGAATTGGTGGGGTAGGTCTTTGTGAGACTGGATGTGTTAGCTGTGCTGGCAGCCATTGCAACGCTCAACCTACCAAATCGACCTTTCCCTTGCCGCTATCCTTGACATTGAATACGAAAGACTCCTCTAAGCCCGTCGTTGGTTCGGTCAGAGTAAGGAATGCCTGATGAGGTCGCTTCGCGGTGCTTCCATCGAGGGTTGTGAGGACAAGCTTCAATGTATCCGTTGCGCCCAACGATACAGATTTGCCCAGCGGTGTCAAAGGACTCAGTCTAATCATCCATTAGTCTTGCCATAATTGCACATAACGCAAGCTCAAGCTCACTTGTCCTTTGAACCTCCGCCAACACCAGCACCTTTGCTGGTAATAGTCACGGTGGCATCCTCAAAGCTCCATAAGGAAGCTGCGGAGACAATAGCCGCGCCCGAAAGTAAAAGGGAAGAAACGAAGCCTTGAAGAACCCTCATCGTTGCTGATTCGGAAAGAGTGAACGCGGAGCTGTCAATGTTGCGCCGACACAGACGTAAGCGTGTCCTTTGCCAAGACTTCGACCGGCATTTTCCGGCGCTAGTTGCCCATGCCTTCCCTCGTCAACCCAACTCACACGCGCGGAGGGCGACGTCATTTGCATCACAACAGATCATCGTGTACCAGTTCCGAGGTCACAATGGGTCGTGATCAATAAGCATACTCACAATGATAATAATCCTTCAATCATTGCGTCTATCTGCAAAACTCACACATACAGACAGCCATACTAACGGACCTTTCTCCTGCGCAACAGCATCCTCCACCTCCGCTTGGTCTTTGGAACCTCATCTTCTGGATCTTCTGAAACCTCTGGAGCCTCTATCTCCTCTGGATCATCCAGATCCGCTACCCATAGCACATGAAGCATCAATCTAACCCAGTCTCTTTCATCCTTCGGAAACATCTCCATCCATTTGTGCTCAACAGCCAGCAAACAGGAAATGTCCTCGCCCTTATGCTTTCCATGCGTCGCATCGCGATACATCTCCTGAAATCTGATTCCCCGCGTCGAAATCAACGTCCTGAAGACAGCGAACCCCAAATCCGGTACTCGAAGGTGGTAGTTATTGAACCCAAACGGATCCACCATCACATTAGATCTCAGAACCCTATAAGGATCATAGCCTAACTCTCCCAACCCAACAACCGACTCTTCCCTTAAGTCCTGAATCCTCTTCTCAATAACATCCGTCGTGACCGCATCCCCAATCCTCCTCTTAAAATTCAATTTCTGCTGCAGCTCATCGAATCCACGTGGCGGATACACAACAGCATACTCCGGCTCCCCATATATATGATACCTCGCTGTACTATAGTCGGTTTGCCAACACCTAGCTATGGCTTCTGAGATATCGTGCCTGTCACTCTCGCTGACGTTGTCGGAATAGTATTCCGGTTGTTGCCACCATTCTGTTCGGCAGAGTGGGCATCGTCGCGAAGAGCCGGATGAAGTGTCGAGGCTCATTTGGTGGATACAGGCTGAGCCGAGGATGTGCGTGCAGCCGGGGAGGTTTATAATGGCGAGTGGCTTGTCGAGCATTTGGAGGGCGAGGTTCTCGCTGCCGTAGGGTAGCTGGCAGATGGCGCATGTGTCTTGTTCTAAGAATAGGTGTAGTTGCTTGGTGGAGGTGTGGTTTGCGATGAACTGTGAGTAGGTTCGGGGTGTAGAGCACTTCGTGCAGCAGGGGTTGTTCTCTGCTGGAGTAGTGGACATGGCTATCTAGATATTCAGCAGTCTTGGGGAAGATACTAGAGGTCGTGGTAGAAGGCAGATAAATAGATTGACGAACACTTCAAGCGCGTTGAATGAAGAGCAATCTTGAATTCCATGCTTTGCACGATCTGCCTCGTCAGGTAGAGTGATGAACAATTCATGACTAGTGCCTGCCACGTTTGATTTTGTGGAAGTGAAGTGTTGAATGTGATTTCGAAGTGGTGAATAACATAATACTAACTCCTGAAATATTCGATGGGTATGTTTCATCGTTTTATGTTACAAAAGGTTGCATCTGTGGCTAATACCACAGCCCCGTAGCGCGTGAAGCGCAGGTGTTCGTGTAGTGACAGACGCACTGCTTCCGAATTCCCAGATCATGTCCGTACAATATGCGGTGTATATACAACGAAGGTGTGTCGTCCGAATCGTGACAAGAAGCGCAGTGCATCTCTTCACAGTCCCTTCTCTTGATCAAAGGGTTCCTCATGGTAGTCAAGTTCTCCGTGACTTTGTGGATTTATTTTCCGACAGTCTTATCTTTCAATTCCTTCGTCTTCTCAGCGACCATGTCAGTCACACCCTTAGCCTCCTCTCCCACTCCCCTCGCCTTCTTAGCCATTCTATCCTTCCAGGCCTTGTCTTCCTCGTCTCGCATCTCCAACTCCCTCAGCCACCTGTCCCTCTTGTCCATGCGCTCCTTCTGAGCAACCTGCTTCTCGTACTCCTTGCGCTTCACGCGATCCTTTTGCCAGTACATATTTCCTGCGACCAGTACGGCGATTGTGAAGGCTTGGGCGTATAGACGTCGGCGGAAGTACATGTTGGTCGCCTTGTGGTCGCCTTTTCGCATCGAGCGGGTTGCACCGATGATGGCCCAGACGGTCAGGCCGCAGCCGAGGGGGACGAGGGGCTCTTCGCGGAAGCGGCGCCATATCTTGTCGAGGGTGTTTTCATTGTAGAAGTCGCTGGATGACGTAGTTAGTGGGTGTAACTTGTTAAATCCTCAAGTTTATCTAGAAGAGTTAATGAGTCCACATACGCATTCTCGTCGAAAGAAGAGGGCAGAGGCGCGCTGTTGGGTGGTCCGAAAGACATGGTGGGTAGTATGCCGATGCAGATGCGGAGGCGGCGGAGGTGTCGCGTGGGTAGAAGTGTACAATGACACGGTCGTTACATGAACCCACAGATCTAGAAGACTGCGCTAGCTCTGAATGCGCAAATTGAAGCTATACAGAAGCCCTGGAAGCGCTATAACAGGTATAGAGTGGGTTGTGTACGGCTTCAAGATGCGGAGCAATCGATTATCTCACCACTTCGGCCATCGGCCCTTCATGATGTTCCAGGCCCGATGCGCGCGAGTGGTGCCTACAACTCCATGACCAGAGCTGCGCGAACCACGACAGCCCGGGTCAAGCATCTCTATCCACTCCAAACCACCACGTCGCCTTCAATGAGAGACGCGGCGACAGGCAAACTCCCCTCGCTGCGCCATGAACGATGAGGCCGAGTCGTCTCGAGCTACTCAGCGCCATGACAACACGGCGGCATCCCACCTGGCCGATCTAGAGGATGCGCTGGCCCGCTTTGAAGAGGCGGAAGAGCGAGAGAGGCAGAAGCAGGTCAAGCAGAGGAAATTGGATGCGAAGAGGAAGCGCATACAGATGCTGGGCGAGCTGTTGCGGGAACTGGACATGATCGTCTACCTGGAACTCATTACACTCTACCACTTGGAGTACGCTTACCGTTCACATGCTGCTACTTTGCGCTAATCGTTTCTGTAGCTGCTCGTTCTTCTGGCTCCTGTTCAAGGCACTTACACATGCCTTCCTGTTGACGCCTATCCCCGACACCGCGACCGTCACCCGCCCACCAGACGAACCGAGGCCCTTCCTCCCGCTGCTCCTGATATCGTTTGGAGTAAATTTCCTCTTACATCTTACATATCCCGCGCCCTCGGCTGGCGAAGATACCCGAGGCTATCTGCACGGCGGCTTGATGATAGACTTTATCGGGCAGCAGGGGCCCACGAGCAAGTGGAAGCTTGGGGCGCTCGACATGTGCATCCTGTTCCTGCAGCTTGTCATGGTCTCGGTACACGTCAAGAGGCGGGAGCTGAAGAAGAAACTGGCCAAACTGTCAGCTGGTGGGGGTGCACCAAACACCACTACCACCCGAGCCACGTCAGACTCGGCACCGACAGCGACGGCAGCGGCGACGAATGACAACGCGAACCGAGATCAGGATGCCGATGATGAGGAGCGAGGTGTGTTACACCGAACCGATACGCTGTCAGACTTTGGCATGGATCCCGAAAACGAAGAAGACGCCCTACTATCATCAACCTCCGAATCTGGCCATGCCGACGCTATGGAGCTTCTCAGTTCGGGTCAGTGTGTCATTGGCGACTTCACCCTCATCGACACCCTCCTCCAAGAGAACCGAGATTACGCAGCTTACCGATTAACGCGCACCGAGAGCGGCAATAACGACATGCCGGAAACGCTGCGGCGGCTCAATACCTTGCGAACTCGTTTCGGGGTGGGTGGCGGGTGAGAGCAAGTAAGACGTTATCTTATCATCGCCTTGCTCCGATGCACGTGTTCCAACCAGATCCGCGGTGACACTGCTGTGACATACCATGCACGTTGTCCCAATGAAATATCGCATGCAGCACACAAAGCCACCGCGTACGCCTGGCTCATGCACGTTCGGCTCGGGTGCCCCCACGCGTTCGTTTCCCGTTGTAAGACGGCTGAGATGGATGGCTTATTGCAAGCATTGGTGGCGCCCGGCTTACACTACCCTAGTCACATTATGCGATGCGCGGTTGTGTGATCGCTTAGTTGTGGCGGACATCTAGCAGATCACCATGGTCTTTGTATGCATGAATGGGCCTAGAGCATATCGGTTAAGGGGGTTTTGCGGTGGAGATATCACACATTACCATCCCACACCAGGTGCGCATGATGCCAATGTCGCTTGAGATTCCCGACAATTACTCTATGCCGTTCCTCATATTATGGCGCGCTATCGGAGAGCGTTATCTACCAGGTCTTAAGCGATGGAAGAGACGTGGGTTATAGCAAGCTGGGATTGTTGGTCAGAGCTAGACTATTCCAAGATGTTTGCCAAAAGGCACCCACAATACTGCAAAAATTGCCAATACAGTCAGCACTGGTACTGCAGCGTTTTGCCAGTCACCAGGGAACTTGATCAGCCAATAGATCCAGAAGCCGAATGCGGCAAGTAATGGCACGAGGTGATAGACTGCCATGAAAGCGAAGGAGATTGCGTGATCGGCCTCCAGTCCCCAAGCAACAGCGATAGCGTCGTCGGACTGTATGTCGAACTCGCTCTTCTTCTTGGGAATACAGCCTAGTCTGTACGAGCGACATGGTAGACTTACACAGTCATGCCATGGGTTGATCCATGGCCATTTGCAGTTCATGTCGCAGGCTTTGAGGCAGACTGCGAATGTTTTGGGCGAAATCATGGGAATGGTGCCTGGTCTTGGATCATATTCGTAGTCGTCTTTAACAGCAGGGTAGTCGGGGAGGTCGTCGCCTTGGGACAAGACACGTCCAGTGTCGAACTTTTCCAGTTTGACAAATCTACAGAATCGGAAGCGAAATGGTGAAATGAGTCGTTTGATCCAGCTTCGATGCTTCTTGTATCGTGTTTTGAGCTCACGGAAGAACGCGGGATCGTTTAGTACAGCTGTGACACTGATCTGCTCCATTTCAAGAGACCATCGCGACCCTTGGACGCCGAAAAGGATGCGTAGAGATGGGTCTGGAATTACTGTCGACGGAGTAGTGGCTGGTTGACCCGAAACTTGGAGTGCAGAGTTGCTACTGTTAACTGGCGAAGGGTTGGTGGTGTTTGCCCCTGCAGTTTGAGAACTATCCACTGGTGTTGAGGTGACCGAAGTTCTCGTTGGAGTATAACGTTGGCTAGCAGTCGATGAATGGGAAGGGCTTGCCGCTGTACCAGCAGCCGCCTTAAACCAGGTCGTCGGGAGACTCAAGTTCCATTGGCTAGCTTGTGGCTCCGGGGTACGATCGAGGGACTGTGTAGAAGTAGCACTGGAGTGCTTTTCAGGGCGCTCTGTGTGACAGCAAAAGCACTGTCTTGGATGATTTGGCAACGAGGGCAGGGCGTATTCAATGATGTTCGATTCGAGTGAAGACAGGGTCTCATATAACTGGGTTCCGCCAAACTGCGTGGCTTAGCGGCCTTACTCAAGCGTCCATGAAGAGTCAGAAACGTACCTTCCACTCAAGACGACATTCTCCAGACGCGACGTCAGGTATACGAGGAGCTAACGGCCACCAGTCCCATTCTACCATCGTTAGATCCTCGAGAGAGGCCTTGGTTCTGTTTGCGAGCGAACTGTCGTTCACAGAAGTCATCCCTGTGATATATCCTGGTGTGTGTATAAACAGCTCCCATATTGGCCTGCGCAGGGTTGAGAGTGCAAGGTCTCTACTGAGAAGACGAGGAATTGTGTCGCATCTTGGATCTTTGCCTTCTCTAGACGACAAATTTATGAAGAAACTGTTGTCTGCTTTCGCGTCAGAGGTTTGATCCTTCCAGCATGATTCGTTGGCGTCAGCAATCTCCAGATGAAGGACGATGGCTGAAGCAATGTGCTCCCATTCGGTAATTCGCTGAGCGTCGATATTATCCCTCCGTGCTATAATATCCTTTGCTGTCGCACTCGCGAGGGTATCGCTGTAATAGCAGCGTAGTGAATCGGAGAACCTGGTGATAAATCGATCCTCACCCATGGTGTTCAAGGCGTATATGTACAACTCAAGTAGTGGTGAGTCGTGCCTGAGTATATCAAGGAAGTCACGTTCGAGGCCGGACTCCGCCGATTGTGCAAGGGCACAAATTCGAAAGCCCGGCTCGATGAGGTTCGCGATGAGGTTCACTCGTTCGTCTATATACATTCTGTCGTCCTGCTCACTTAAGGACTTTCTCGACTGCCCTTTCGACGATACAAAATGTTGGAGGTCGGTCCGGAGCAGCTTGAATGCTGCACTTTGAATCAGAAACTCGCGAACGTTCGTGAGATCTTCAAAGCCATTTTGGTCGATGTTTGTCTCTTCTTGCTCATCTTCATCAGACAAGTCTTCTTCATCGGCAGATGAGTCCTCATCCCGCAAAAAAGAGGTAACTCTTTTCCCTTCTACTGCCTCTAACTCCGGTGCTTTCCCTAGTTGATATATCTCCAGTATCTTGTCCGAGATCTCTCGTGCCTTCAGTGCTACCAGACGCGCAGCAAGGAAGTCCAAGCGATCCTGTGCCTCATCTTTGAGCCTGTCGACAAATGTTAAAAGCATTCGCCTGAAGGCCTTCACCAACTTCCGGGGTCCAATGACACCATTAATTGCGTTTGTATAGAGTGGATGGAGGAACTCGTCGTCTCGAAATATAGAAACCAACTCTCGAGTTGCCGTAGCGATCTGCACTGGGGAATAGCCACTGCCCTTTGACAGATCAGTAGCGGAAGACGCGAGAGACCCATTAGAGAACACGGAGCCTTCATCCGATGATGTATCTGACACATCGTCGTCATGATTGAGTTCCACAGGACACCCCGGCTCGTATGTATTCGAGTGGTTTGTCTTTCGCTTCTCATCGACGCTGTCTTGGGTTTCTACGTCTGTGTCGATGGAAGCTAGCATAGATGATGAGTTTTGCACTACGAAATCCTTAGGAACGGCTTCTCGGTGCTGTGGCCAATCAACAATCTCGCTCGATCTCGGGCGAGACCGCTTTTTGAGCACCGGCCGCACTTCGACTCCCATCGCTTTCCCTCTGGCAGTTGAACCATTTGAAGCCGTTCTTGGAGCAACATAGTAGGATCTATCCATGGCGACGAATGGTTTGCGAGAGCGATGGCGTATGCTGCGTTCAATCGCTTTGAGTAGACTACAGACTTCGAAATATCCAGCAGGAATTTCCACGCGAACCAGCTTGTTGTCCTCTTCGGCCGTGCTGTAAGTTGCACCATCGGACTTCTGGTACAGGTATCTATACACGTACTGTCAACCCAGCCACTATCCATACCTTGTGACTATCGACTCACCTGGCTACCTGTTGCGCTAAACTATGACCCACGTCACATAGCTGTTCATGATTGCGGCGAACTTCGTACGGATTATGGCAGTAAGCACACTTTCGAGCATGCATTTTGAAATGGTAGCATGCCCAACTCTCCGCGGTATTTACTGGGCGAGAGAAGCTGTCTACTGGGTCTTCACCGAAGCCGACAGCTCCTCCCACAGCTCGTTCGCGCTTTATCTGCGGCATAGTCGTGCGCGCAGGCGTCGTGGCAGTGCCTCCGCGATCCCGCCCAAGTGCTCTGGCAGATCTTGTCGTCGTAAGATTTCCTCAGACACGGCGATATACGACTGTCAAAACCATGAGCTATACTAGCCACTTCTGTTGTACAAGATTACTGTAGAGGTTAGGTGAATAGGACCCCAGAGACGTTCCCACAATCCCTCTGTGTTGCTCTAGTGGACACTAGGCTGCATTAAATTCAATCACCTCATGCACGCCATCTACTCAAATCACTGGCTTTTACGAGCAGAATAGTAATCTTGGTAAGGTACCAGCCGTTCTGGGGGAGCCTCGACGACAGGTGCGCATGCGAGCTTTAGACTATACCGCGCGCCTGACTCACCTGCATGCATCAGATCATCTCCGCATTCACCCAAATCAACCCCATAGCAAATGTAACGTCAACATGCGCCCATCTCCCCAGCATCGCACACCGATGACGGCAGCGCCGGGCGCCAGTTTGCCAAACGCCCCATACCGCCCGACGTCAGCCGTCCTACCAGTGGCGACGAAGAGTCGTGTGTCTCGCCAATCTCCGTTTTTGGGGGCGAGATTGGGGCCTCCATTCGACGCTCAGCATTGTGTGCTGTCCAATATCGAGGTTCCGTCTGACGGCAGATTTAAGCGGTCGTGCCGACATGCACAGCATGCGAGATCTTACGGGTAGCCAGTGCCGCTCTGCTGCAGAACCAGGTGTCTGCTGCAAGACTTACATTGCTTGCGCAAACGTGGCGTGAGTGCTCTCCCGCGCAGGGGGGAGGGGCTGCGTGTGATGGCACGGTGTATACGGTGTGGTCTACAGCCTTCCCGAGATGGATGTATCTTGCTCGTGGGATGGCCATGCGAAACCTGATTGCGAAAGCGGGAATAGTCAGACTCGACACGTCGGGAAGTACAGTTGTCGTCCACCAATACTTGCTGTCGCCTATCGCGCCTTTATCTCAAAGCAACTACACGTGCGCTGTGTCACCCACCTATACCTAGGTACCCACCCACCTTCATTTCCACATGGCGAACATGGAAGGTAGGAATAACAAATCATACTATGGAGCAGCTTTTGGAGGACCCTGCATGGCCATTTCGTCTCGGAGGCCCTTTTGCAGCGATTCGCGCGAGCCGCGTTTTGCTCACATCGATTCCTTCGATTCCCAAAGTCGTCTCGGAACGGTAAAAGCACAATGCAATCGTGTACTTCGGCTGCCGCGACGCGAAGCTGCGTGGGATGAATAGCATAATGTACAAGGTAGTGAAACAAAGGAGGATGGCTGAGTCTCCAGTCGTGGCCAAACTCTGCGTTTGCGTCCTCGATCACACGAAAGGTCGTCGAACGTTACTCTCTCATCTCATTCGCAACCGCACCACATGCTCGCGGATGACGCGCGCCCGGTCAACGGGCGGGTTATAACGGAAGCACGGATCGGAACGTCGAACGACGCACCGAAACCCAAATCCCTCTCATGGTTTATTCGCCTCGACATGCACCCACACAACGCCAAGAATAGCATGCCACCACATGGTCCCACCTCTTGATGATGCGTGTGGGGAGCTCAACGATTGGCGGAAGCTTAACCTGCCTTCTGAGCAAAAACTAAACTCTGTCTTGAATTTTTCTGATTGGCGGGGTTCGCTTGCCTCGCGAGGGTGCGAGTAAGCAAGTGATTTGACATCTTATGATATGCAGCGCGTGGGCCGACTGAGTTGCATCCCCGTTCCTTGTTGTGTGTTGCATGCTGGCAAAAGGAGTTAGCAGGCTCACGTGACTGGTTCCTGGGCTCGGTTACTTGTCACTCCTTTACAGGGCTTTGTCATTGCTGACATGCATGGGCCACGGCGTGTTGCACCGCGTGGCTTGCATGGTTGGGCTCTGAGCTCAGAGTCCTGGGGAAGGCGATGCACATTTTCCGACAAGGATAATGCTAGTGTGATGCATACGTGACCCGACAGGACGGTTCGGCGTTTGGGCTAGCTGCAGCATGGAGGGTGGGTACGTGCGGGATTATAGAACTGGCGAGCGTGCCATACGCGATGCGCGACATGCGATGCAAGATGCGATGCTGGACTCGTTGCGACCTTGCTATACCTAGGTACTTGACCCGCTCCGCCGGCTCGTTGGGGTGTGACACCTGAGTGGACGGGTTTAGTTATGTCTGACACGACTCGCCGCATATTGCATGCCGCCGCTTGAGGCTATTGGTATTTGCGCCAGACTCCATACGTACGTTGACAACGAATCTTGATGTAATGGGATTCATATCGGTTACAAGCTGCCTTCAATACGTGCTACCGAGGACGGTTGGGGAACTCGTGTCGAAGCGCAAGTGCTCACGATCATGCATGTAATGGAGTGGGGTGTGCAAGTCTTGCCCCACAGTTCTGCAGATTCCTGGGCGTATTCTAGTTGCGAAGATCAATTTTGCGCAGCAGGATCGCCATGTCTTCTCGAGTCAAAGAACGTGTAAGGGGTTTATCGCGAACACATTCGGCAGGTGCGAAGATTTCAGTTTGAAAAGAGCGCCGTGCGATATTTGCTTTGTCGTCCTGCAACGTAAGGCGAAAAGACCATGTAACCCTCCTATGCGCCAGATATACAAGGTCATTGAGTCAGTCGTACGATCCGGTGAGGAATCCGCTCATGGCCCGCTGTATGGAACAGCATCGTCGTGCAGTAAAGCAAATATTACATGCAGGCGGAGGAGCGCGATGTCATCGCGTGACAAGATGAATCGATAGAGGTGCACAAATAAGTCCGAGAGAAACGACTTTGGCGCCTGTGCAGATCCAGTCCCATGGAGACAGCCCCTATGGCCTTGTATCGACATGGCAGGAATATGCGGTGTGAACTATAGGTACACGTGTCGAGAGTCGGTCATCTGGATGTGTGTGGAGTCCCTCTAAACCGCGGACGTACTGTACTCCCACATGAATGGACCCGTTATGCAGGTCAAAAAGATACCAGCTGCAAGGGATGCAAAATGGGGAAGTTGATCCGGAAAGTGAATCCCAGATACCCCCATAGACTCTGCAACCAGCAACATGAGGTTTCTTGTGCCGTGATGCTGAAGCAGAAAAACGAAAGCACGCATCGGCAGTTGCAAGCGACCGGAACGTGCTGACAAAACCCGAGGCATCTACACTCGCGGTCGGCCCGAGTAGCGAGAAGTATTCGGGTAAGCACAGCAAAAGAAGATCATGAGCCGGAACCGCTGCAACATGCGCAGTCTTACAGCCTTGTCACCCGCCGCAGAGGTAAACGGTGAGCAAGTGTTGATCCTAGACACAGAAGCCGGCGTGATTGGGTGGATCTTTGTCCCCGGTCGCGGCATGTCATCAATCAAGACCCTTGTACGACGGCGGCTCTGCCTAGGTAGTTCTTCCAGATGCGTAGGATCACGGGTCAAGCGGCTGGCTCGTGGGTAAGCTAGGTTGCATCCTTGCAACGCATGCTGCAGCTTGGAGAGATTTTTAGTGCTGCTCTTTGCACGTCCACCCGCATCATCATTGCGAGTCAGCTTTACACCGGATGCTGGTAGATATAGCGTTCGCGGATGTGATGGCATCGAAAGTGGAGAGATGGCGGTGAAGGTGTTGCGTGCGCGCTTCGGGGGCCCGGCAAATCTGAGATTAGGCCCGATGACGAGGGTGGTGATCAAGAGCCATGTCGTGCATACAGCGGCACAGCAGCTAGCCCCTAAGTATGTCATCGTGATGATTGGCCCAAACGCCCAAGTGAAGAGTCCAATGAGTAGCGCTCTGGACAATTCGATTGCGACATCTTTCCTGTTGTTGTGTGGGTGATCCTGGTATAGGGCTAGTAATCAGTCGCGGTGTTTGCGACAGCCAACTTGATGTTGCTGCTCGTATGTCCTTGCATGCTATGCAAGCACCGTGGCACAACAAGATTTTACTGCCTGGACAGACACTGTCAGCAGCATCTCAATCTCTAGTGTCGGGGAGAACGCCGTCGATATTGTATTTCTCCGGAGACTTCCCCATCGAGGCAATCTATGGCAGGCCGTCTTCTGTCAGCTTGGAGCGGCTTCTGGAAAACGACGAGAACCACAATTTGGCCGAAGGCGGTATGTTCGTCCCTTGATCGCTGTGCGTAAAGAAAGGCGTGCACAAGAGCAGGATAGTTGATGGCTGGACCGTGCGGATGTGATGTTGATATTCGGACCGTTTTAAGGAAGGTTCAGACTACTGCGAGTTGGGAAATAATATGGTGTGGTATAATAGACCATCGGAGAGGTCCCAGGCAACGTTGTCGATATCGATCCTATGCCCAGTCTACCCAGAGTCTGTGGCCTAGTGTTTAAGTTGACAGAAACACGGGCGTCTGTTGGAGTTTGGACCTAGTGACCAACAGTGACGGGCTGTCAATAGACCACCCAGATGACGAGAAAAGAAATTCTCCAAAAGGCGCTATAATGCCGTACATAAAGTTCCGGGCAAGCTCGAAATATGGCGCCGAAGAAGCCAACGGACCGCGCCGGAGGCGTCTCCGTTAGCTGACAAGCGAAACACGGAACTTAAACTTTGGCCAACTCACATCTTCCTGCTTTCCAGTACAATGGTCATGTGGCTACCAACCTGTCTGACGGGATTTTGGGGACTCTGTCTAAACTGATTCGTAAAGGTGTTGCGAGCACGAGGCTCTAGTCACACACGTGTCTGTGCGCCTCCTGGTAGTCTTTGCGGTGAGTATGCAGCACCAACGTGTCGCGTCTGGTGACACTGTTAGGTGCACTACTATCGCCGGACGCTTGTCAACAAGGTGGACCTTTCATGAAACCGTGAGAATTACAATGACACACTCGGGAACACTCACCTGGAGAGCCGGAGACCGGAGAAGACCGCCGACCTACTACTATGGTAGTCTCGAACTCAACATCCGCCACTTCGGATCGCTTACCTAGAGTGAGTTTTAAACTTTCGACGGGTGTCTTCACCAAGGTGCGACAAGAGTGACGCATTTGGTATGATGTGATGGCGCCCGTCCGAAGACCCTTTAGTGGTCAGCGACGTCTGTGAAATTGAGGCTGCACTCGGTATGGCGCCGGCCTCGTTCGCTAAGGCGACAGCCGAATAAGGACTTGTAGATTCTGGAGTTGAACGTCGGCATTACCCAGTTCGTCATGCCGTATCCGAAACTCAATTTTGATTATCGCCTGATTTCGGGGAACATAACAGTCGAGTTGCATCGATTAGTCGGTCTATGATACGTTGGGCGTGAACGTCGCATTAGGTCCAGACGTGCCGGCTGTCTCGCCTGCGAGATCCCGAAGAGAACGGCGATTAAATGAATGTTACCACGGCTAGTACCATTCGCGTGGAAGCAGTTCCTAAGCGGCGGTTGATCCCGGCTTGTGACGGAACAACACTCCAGGGACCGTCATGATGGCAGATGTTGCAAAGTTGTACGGGTATTTTGTAGCAAAGAGATGTAGTTCGATTGTCCTTGGTATCTGTGAGTAGGCACTCACAGCCACCATGCCGTTTGCTGAAAGGCGCACATGAGGTAGTACTGTACATGACGAAAGCGACAAATACCAATCTTGATTCGATGACAGCGATGAGAATTGTCCGTGAGGACAAGAGATTCTATATGCAATTTGGTGAAGACCGATGATGGACAAAGAACGAAAAGAGCTAGGGTATAACGCAGATATGTGCTCGCAAAATTGCTGAAGCTGGAAACAACCACCCAGGCGATATACATGCATCGTTGACACATGGTTGAGAAAGAATGTAAATAGAAATAAAGTGGTCGACGCGCGAACGCAAGCCGGGTGATAATATTGTAGGCTGATCAAAGCACCGATGCTTCCTCTTCAAGGTATGGCCAATTGTCTAGGCACGGTGCTCGTATCGACGAGCCTCAGGTGGGAAAGAGTCGCGGTAAGCAGCTTGTTTAGGCGCAGGATGGTGAGGACCTGTGGTTTGCGCCTGTTGGTGCTGTGGATACTGATGAGGCTGGGTAGTATGCTGTGCAGAGTGATTTACAGGTGCAAAGGTGGATGCAGGATAGCCATGTGAGTCGTGACTGGAAGGTGCCTCGGCGTGGTGAGGACCAACAGCTGGATGGTAGCTACTGGTTCTCCTTCGAACGTTGCGCTCTTCCTCGCGAAATTCCTCTTCGTAGTCGTCATACGAAGCCTCTGAGCCATGTCCCGTTGTAGAAGATGGTGCGCGTGACGGTGCTACCGAAACACGCCTCAGCCGAGGCGACGGCGGTCGGGTGATGTGGCGTTCTGGATGAGCTTGCATGGCAATCGATCTCCAGTAGTCCCTCTCAGAACGGTAATACTCAGCATCCTCGTTCGAGTCGCGGACGCTCTGTTCCAATCTCGATATGCTCATGGAAGCCTCGCGCTCTTTTTCCTTCCTTCTGGCACGGAAACGTGCTGATGCGCCAGCATTACGCCTCCTCTTCTCATCGGCGCCTTTGGATGCGGTTTGTGTTTCCACTTGGATGTTGTGCAAAGACCCGTCCTGGCTCTGGATTGTCATGAGCTGAACACTGCTCTGGTTGGATGGGGCCATGGCTATCATGCTATTGCGTTCACTCTCCATGGACACAGACCCCTGACGGGAATCGTGCACTGGGGTGTGTCTACGCATCTGGCCGTATGGTCCCTGAGTACTGTGGTTGTCGTATTGGCTCGACGCAACAGAGGCTGGCTGGCTGTAAGGTGAGTACTGTGTAATTGGACTGGCACTACCGGATTGCGGGAAGTTGACGCTTGGTCGACGGATCTCAGTACGCATCATGTTCGGCGGGGGAGTAGGAGCCGTAGGAGGGAAATAATGAGGGCGGCCGCCGGCAGGAGGTGTAGGTAAAGCCGGTTGGATTGTCATTGATTCCGAGGGACGTGTACTTGCCGTTAGGAAAGGCGATTGCTGAGCATCGATGGTGCCTGTGGGTGGATTTAACCTGCCGAGGTTGTGATTCCTGATCGACTTCTCGGGATATGGAGGTCGGATCGACGGCCGTCCCGGGGGTTGGAATGGCCTAGCATGCTGTTGTCCTTCCTGTGTGGATTGAGTGGAGTCCACACTATTGGGTCGACTGATGGAGGGCAGACTTTGCGAGTTCTGTGTATCAACGGGTGATGGCGAATCCATCTGAGAGTTGCTACGCTTCAGACTCCGTTGCTGTTCCACCAACTCGGCTTGGGGATTGAGAATGGAGTGGACTCCGAAAGGGTTCCCATATCTTCGATCCGAGGGCGTGGGTGGGGTCCTGGAAAGATGGCGAAGAGGTGGCAGGGAAACGGGAGGGTTTGCCGGAGCTTCTCGCGGGCTCCTGTAAGGAGGCTGCATTGGAGGATAAGACTGGATGGGCGACATCTGTGGGGTTGTTCGCGCTGAACGGGTTTCTCCTGCCGGTGGGTTTGACATGGAATAGATATCGTCAGAGCCCCCTTGGCCGCCCTGACCCGACCATGGGCCGTCGGGCTTTGGATCGTTGTGGTACGGCGGAGTTAACGAGTTCTGAAAACGTCGTGGATAATGAGGGAGAGGGGCCCGAATAGCGGGGAGAGTCTGAGTAGCCAGGGTGACAACGTTGGTTGGGTCGCCTAGGAGACAACCCAAGATACGTGGAGGTAATGTAGTTCGAAGGAGGCGAAAAGGATGGTGGATCAGACAATGTGGTGGCAGTCCCAACGGTGTAGTGGCAGCACGAGGCGTGGATGAGTTTCCTAGTAGGGCAGTCGAGGCAGTGTGGGGCTGACGGCCATGCTATACTGGGAGTAAGCGACCAAGGCTGCAGGAACGAGGACTGGAGATCGGTAGCAAAGTGAAGCGATGAGGAAATGAAGCTGCGAGGCAACGTCGGGGGAACTGGTAAAGAGTCTGGGGGTCGAGATCTGTCACGCCCGCAATCGGCACAGGTCGCGCCAGGACCGGGTGTGATATAAGAATTTGCGGTGTAATAGTCGGAGGATGGCTGGCCGGGCAGCAAACCATCGAGGGTGCATTGTGCCCCTGTCGCGCCTGGTCCATGTTGCGCGAGGAAGGGCAGCAAGTACATCATGCCTTGTCGGCGGCTTTGACGACGCGCTAGGCGGTGCCTTGGGCTTGCTGGGATACGCTGGCAAGCTACTTGCGCACGTCTTGCGCGCTACTGCATGTTCGACAGTGAAGATACGCGGAAGCGGAATACACACTAAGCCCCCCACCGCAACAACGCGCAGCTGGCGGCCAAGTAACGACGTCGAGGTGGCCTGCTGGCCCAAACTGACACAAGCGCACTTTGGCGGCCGCGCCCTGCAGCCCCCAGCACTGACCTGCGGGAGACTGTCCGGAAAGACGTCCTGTCATCTCATCTGCAGCTTGCCGGCGGCCCTCCTGCACCTCCATGGCGAGCCGTGGCTGGCTCGCACGCATGTCCTCGACCGCTGCTAGGGCCGGTCAGGCCAGCGGTTGCGGTAGCAGCGTGTGCGTGATGCGCACGACCGTGTCTCATCATGTGCCCCAGGCCATCCTTCCCTTGCCGCTCGCTGTGCAATGAATTGTGCACCTCATTTTGCTTTGTTGAGCCGCCTTATTGGCTGCCCGTCGCGCATTTAAAATCCCCGACGCTTGCCTCAGCGCTGCATATGCCTCGCGCGCTACGCACTGCACAAAACGCGAGCCACAGCGTTGCATCATTGTGGCCCAAGACATCGATAGGAGCACTGGGCGCCTCGTCGCTTCAGTGGGTTGCTTCTTGTCCAGTACACCTGCATTTCCGCGGCCAGCACCACTAACGTCTCGGGACGGTCAGCGGCGGCAACGCCTCGTCTCGCTGCGGATGACAGAAGAAATTAGCATGCCCACGCCATGCAGCCACCGAGGAGCGATCGCTTCCGCCTTGGAAAACGTGCGTGTCGATAACGTGCATGTGGACGTGTTGCAGTGACCATGTGGGGGTAGCAGCAGCTTGATGAGACGGCATGATAGAGATCTCGGTCTGTTGATTTGTATGACGAGCCTCTGAAACTCGATCGAATCACTAACAAGGGAGGCCCTCGCCCTGCCGTCGCGATAATACTAATCGATATCGCCAGGGTTTGGGTGACAGTTCCCCGCGCTGTCGTGGGGGTGATTAGCTTGTGGAGCTGCAGATGTGTCCCAGCACGAGACTTGTGATCGGACAGATCGTCAGTCATCAGTTTCCATATACAAGCCAGTCCTGTATTGCGCAATTTGCGGCATCCTCTGTGCGAGTACTTTTGTGCAACGTAGCGTGGAGTTTGCGCCAGGCGAAACAGATCAGTAGGTTGGGCTTCAATTCCGTACCCCTGTCACATTGCAAATCACGTCAGGTGTCGGCCTTTTGATCCTTTTGATCCCACATGCGCACGCCGGTTAGAACATGGCTAGCTCAGGTTTCGTTGCGACTGGTAGCTGGCGTTAACCCATGTACATTTGCTGCTTCTCGAACCTTTTCCATGACAATTCATTCCCAGAGGGCCGGTAACGGCGCACACGTTGCAGGACCTGAGACGATCTCAATGCCGCGCATGTCATTCCTTCTGGAGTCGCATCGAGATGGACTGGACGCTTGCGAGCAGCTGAAAAGTGTATGTACCCCGAGTACGAGCGCATCAAACTCTGTGAAAGCCGTGTGCGGCTGCCGGCATTTTTGGGCAACCTCTGAAGATCTGGAGCTTCTAGTGAGCCCTCGTGCGCGCTGACTTTGAGAGACTGGATTAGTAGCTGGAGTCAGGGCAGCCTGCCTCGGCGCAAGCTGGATGCCCTCGTGAGGGCCTTGCTCAGGGATTTCCACCAAAAGCGTCATAGCTTGCGACCAACAGCGTGGTCCACACGGCGCCACTGATGGATCTCAGCCATCGGTTGGTTGATCCTCTCCACCAGTTTCCGGCTCCAGACTGTCGGTTGCGCAGCCAAGGCGATAGTTCAGGGGAGACCGCACCAGATTGCGAGGTCACGTCACACCTTCTGAGCTAATCACGGTGTATGTACACCGCACAGCCGCGAGAAGCGTTGGTTCCTGTTCCAACATGCCGGACGGTATCGCCAGATCAACCTAGAGGACTGAGTTTAGACGAGATGGAGTGGTAGACTGACTCGTAGTCTCGGTGCAGTTCACGAGTTAGTACATCGCGTGTCCGGTGAAGCTGGGTACTCTCTGTGCCCACAATTCAGTTTCCCAACCCCACTCACTGCCAAATACAATAGCGGCGGCACAACTGCCGCTGTCCTCCGCGGACGTGTCGACATCAAATTGCCTTGGTTGACGTGATGTGAAGCTCCAGCATAGGGAAGTGGCGGCACGCGCGTGCTCGTCGCAGCAATGGATGCTTCGGCACTTGACCAATTCTCCACGATGCTTCGCTTGGGCAGGCGTCCGGTTGTGTCGAAGTGGAAGGGAGACCCTGATGGAGGCATCGAACGAGTGGGCAGTCCGCGGATGCATTTTGACATAGAACGCACGGCCCAAGCTTCTGCACGGGCGTTTGCGCCTCTCCAATGCACCTGCCAAATCTGCTCTCAGCAATTACAACAAGACAAACGACGCTGCTATCACGTCACAAACCCTCACAGTATACATCAAACTCCAGTACAAATGAAGGCGACATGTATACGACGCATGTGAGAGCCGTCCTGCAACCAACTGAACGGGCTGCGGCACTCTTTTGTTTGGCCTTGCTACACAGCTTTCCTGCCCATGCAACGCTTCGCAACCCCCTGTTGACGCCATAGTCCGTAATTTGTGCTGTCCCGAAACAACGTCAAAATGAACAAGCAGTACCGGACATCTGTGGCAGATTCGTGTCGAAGCATGCATTGCGGGACTCGCTTCAGACGTTCTCCGTTACACAAGCAAACATCCACAACCGAGAACACTTTCAGCCGCCTGCACAAGGCTCAGTATCGCCAGTTCATTACTCGTATCGGCTTATATTATCAGTTGTATATCCCGGAAGCGGGAGATGACGTTTCTTACCCTGCAACGCATAACATATGAGGCGGGGGCTAATGTATACAGGTACCAAACGGGTTGCTTGATGCTCGATCGGAACTCCCTTTGTCTCTGCAATCTCCAACGACCCTCTGGCTCGGTCTACATCGCCGCCATCCACTACAGTGAGCAAAACAATAGATAGCACCTCGAGACCTTGCCTGGGCAAACATGGGTTGGTCACTCGCTAAACTATCTTCTGCGTCAGGCTCACCACCTTGCACACCAACCCGCGCCTCCTGATAGTCCTCCTGATTACGATGTCTCTTTTGTTGCGCAAGCGCATATTCTTCGGATGCTTTTGCCAGCCAGTGTGCGGACCGGCTCAGATCGAGACATGACAGCGTCGTCTACCAAGACGTAGATTGGTAGATACAGTACGGCATTAAGGTGACAAGATGATGACCTTATCGCTGTCGAAGCAAGTCGCGGAGTTTCGATCGCACATCACAGCTCCCTTTCAAAGGATGCGATGCCAACCCAAACAACAGTTTGCTCGTCCCAATCTCCTGATGACTCATCATACCCTATGGCTGATGCAACACTCTCGGTAGCAAAAGATTGCATGCAGGTCGACTACAGTACACAGTAACGTAGTGATAAGGCCTACTTGGAGTCGACTCATGCATGCAAGATATTTGATCGACATTAGCAGATCAGTATTCCGAACTGCCCTGCACCCTGAACAAACGCTAGATGCTGCATAAAAGTTCCGGATAGCCGTGGTCGGCCTGACCGCGATGGCCGGTGCTTATTAGTCTCACGACCCTGTTCACGACGAATCGGTCAGCGATGATCTTTCGGCCCTTTTCAACAATATTTGCGTCTCCGAGAGTACGGTAACAGCTCCCCCAGATCGAGCTGCCTGTTCTGTCGACCGACATGA